TCTCTCTCTCTGTCTCTCTCTCTCTCTCTCGTCTCTCTCTCTCTCTCTCGTCTCTCTCTCTCTCTCTCTCTCTCTCTCTCTCTCTCTTCTCTCGTTTACTTTCCATTTCCTTCGCCTTCATTTTCCCTATTTTCGTCCAAGGGAAGCCTACCGTAGTTGGTTTCCTTAGTGACACCCTTAGACAGCAGATGTGTAAAGTTGATGGTTTCGCCGCTGCCTCCTTCCTCGCGTACGTGATGAACTTCAAAGTGGTAGCTGTATAGTTATATCAAAGTAAGACGTTACATACGTCAAAGTTACATAAGACGTGAGCCAGTTGCAACTAATATAGGCATATTTACGTACATTCTTTATAGAAAAATACATTCAGTAGCAATGTTAGAATCTATCGTTTAAATAGGATGAGCTACTGTTTATTTAATTATTTAATTATACACGGGTCGCCAAATATATTCCGCGTTATAACTTATATTCTCAAAAATAGATATCCAGATTCCCGGGGAAAATAGCATCTAGGCATTGACAATAAATTTCAGACTACGCCTAAGTAGATGGTTAACTGACTAGACTAGATACAGTCCATCGCCTATGTCCTCGTTGTGTGAAAACTCGGCTTCGTGACACATCGGCTTACTTTTCGACATTGGGGTAGAGCGTCTGTAGTCTCTTAAGCTCAAAGAAATGCGTGGCGAAAATCGTGAATGCCTTGATGTTGACCAAATATTCGCAAATAGCAAAGCACAGTCCAACGCCTTCTTCTGCACTCGTCCCTATCGCACACACACACACACACGGGAGATACTTTATAGACACGAGTAATGAACTAGTAACATCAATAAACACTGAGATTTAACTCCTAATGTCACATGAACATGTCTATTTTGAAACAGTCCAAATGCCTGTGGGTTCTCACATCGTTAATTGTGCAGAAGAGAGAGCTGCGCATACCTAATACACAGTATTCGCCACAATTCAACCTTGACAACAAGACAGTCGAATTTACATTGGACACTGCAATGTAGTGTCAGATGTTGTGTAGAGTAATAAGTGAACACTACAGCAAGATGCTGTGCTGAATATGCGTCCCGCAGAGACTACTCAGCCGCCCATATGTCGCTGATCACATGATCCTGTTACATAGCCGTACAGAAGATAAAGCAGTGGACGTGCAAGCATCGCACTGCGTTAGCGTGTTCGCGGATGGCAATAGGAGGGGGCGCTCACCTCTGCCCAGTTCATCGATGATGATGAGAGATCGGTGTGAGGCGTTCTGCATGATGTAGTTCACGTCTTGCATCTGCGAACGTGATGCGCGTTAGCGTATTGCTAGCGGTTGTATGCTAACATTTCCGTCTTAATTTCAGTATACACCTCTACTGTCCCAGCAATGGTTATGTGTAATAGATGGGTCACACATGCACAAACAGCTAACAGAGACAGTAATATATATGTATATATATATATATATACATACATATATATATATATATATATATATATATATATATA